CTAATTGGTGGGGCAGCAGGAGAAGGGGAAGGTGTACCACTAGCCACCAGTCAAATGGTATGGCAGTGGTGGGGAATAAATTTATGTCCATTGACATAAATGGGACACAAATCTGGTCTAGTTTTTCAGTACTCTTTTCAATGCTTAATGAATAGAAACCAGAATAATGAGTTTATTTGGGAAAAAAAAAAGGAAATGATGAAGGAAAAAGAGATAGAAGGCAATGAGAAAGGTCAGAAGTAAGAATAATTTGAAATTAGCTAGGTCTTACATATGGTAGAAGTAACGTATGCTTAACTTTATATATTTCACTTCAGGTAAAAAAAATCCATTTAGATCTACAAACAAAGGGGAAAAAATATCTCTATTTTTCTCTCTTATTTGTTGACATTAAAGTCTGGCCTTTGTGTTACATCCCTTGTGGTCTCAAGTGCCTGTAGTGCATGATGAAAGCACTCAATTGCTAACTAAAAGGTCAATAGTTTGAACTACATCATCTGCACCATGGGAGAAAGATGTGGCAGTCTGCTTCAGTAAATATTTACAGCCTTGAAAACCCTATGAGGCAATTCTGCTCTGTCTGATAGGGTTGTGATGAGTTAGAATTGATTTGAAAGCAGTGGGTTTGATTTTGGTGTGTGATTCACTTTTAATTCTTAGTTTGAATCATAACATCATGGTTAATTCAGTCCCAGCATCTGCTTTATGGACTCCAGTTCTTTGGAACTGATATAAGGTTGATACTTGGGATTGTTTTTGTTGCTGTTAAGTTCCGGTGAGTCAATTCCCACTCATAACTACCCTGTATAGGCTTTCCAAGTAGAAGCTGGTAGATTTGTACCACTGACCTTGTAGTTCACAGTATAGTGCTGATTCTACAGTGCCATACCTGGAATTAAGTATAGTAATTTCGGTTGTATCTGTGTTGAATACTGAGGAACAGATGTCTTGGGATGAGAAAAAAATCCAGCATTAATTTCTCCTTATTTTTTGTGTGAATATATGGTAAACTCATAATGCAAAAGAGCTATCTGTAAAGTGTTAATACAGAAAATTATTTCCACCTCTATTTCATCACAGAGCACTTGGATCCTAATACGTCATACTAGCATGGCTTTGTTAGGAAGTGACTATATCAATAAAATAATGAATCATAAATTGTAGTTTCTATATGCTGTATCTTATATGAGTTGCTTCAGTATTTGTATAATTTTTGCCAGTTTTATTCATATATTTATACTCCACCCAGCTCTCCAATCTTAAAAGTATATCTTAAGAAATATCTTTAAGTATGAGATTGTAGGTGTGCACAGAGAGAAAGAGTCTTATTTTCTCTAATGAAAAGTCAATGTATTGTTTTTACATATGTTTGGGAAATTTATGCTATGGTTTGCATATATTAATTACATTTATATTTTTTCCTGTATTTTAAGACTATTAATCATGTTTGTTGTTGTTGTTATTGCTAAGTGCTGTCAAGTCAGTTATGACCCATAGTGACACTGTATAAGGTTTCTAAGGAGTGACTGTTGAGTTTGAACCGCTGACCTTGTAGTTCAAACCGACTCTGCAGTTCAGTGCATTAAACCACAGCACCACACCAGGATTCCGCTCTAATCATGCTTAAATATTCTAAAAGGAGTGTAAATATTTTACAAAGTATCACTTGAAGAAGACTGTCAAATTTTTATCTCTAGAAAATGTTTTTAAGATTTCCTCTAGTGTTTAAGATTTCCTCAGTGTTACAAACAATTAATGAATTGATGCTAACCAAAAGCTTGGTAGTTTCAATCCAATCAAAGGAAAGGACTAGAGATCAACTTCTGAAAACTTAGCACTGAAGACCTTACAGAGCACAGTTAAAACTCTGACACACAAGGAATCTCTATGATACAGAATCTATTTGACATCAACTTTGTACTATGAATTAGTCTGTGGAAATATAAAGTATCTGAAGTGTCAAACAATATGGGCATTTTGCTATAGTTTTGGGACCAGGATTTTTTTTTTTTTTTTCTTCACTGCTTTTTCTTTCAAAAATAGTTCGTTAAACTAGTCTTCTCTACTCACACTCTGTGTTGTGATTTCTTAGTTTTTTATAAAAAAGAATGACACATCAGACAGGAGATGGTTTTTCCATCCTCTAATCACTATCTCTATAATCATCAGTTTTCAATCTTTTCCACATCAGGATCCCATAAGGAAAGGGAAAGTTTCCGTTTCTCCCCCATTCAAATGTATTATCTAAAAATAGCCTGGCCTTTGCCTCACGTAATTCCCTTTTCCTCTTTCTCCACACATCTACACATCATTGGTCATACTTCTTGAGTCATGTTTATAAACAGTAGGAGACTTCTTTTTCTTGTCCTCACGCAACTGAGCCACAGTGTAAACTTTTGGTTTTCTTTTGATGCTGAATAATCTTGAATGAACAATTGTGAATAGTGCCAGACAAGAAATAACAAACTGAATAATTGAACTGAATACAGACTGGGTGATAAAAATTTTCTTATTTCAGGCAAGACATTAGTCATGCATATATGGGATTTTTCTGTGAAACATAATCACATTTAGCTTAATAGAACAAATCTTTTCATAGTCTTTAAATCCTTTATTCTACCAGATTGTTATTTCTTTACAAATAGTCTGGGAGAGAACTGATCACCTTAACATTCACAACATTCCATAATTGCCATAAATGTTAAAAGTTCAGCTAAGTGTTTATTTTTCTCTGTGCAATTTTGAAATACTTATTTTTATTGAATATAAATTACTGACTTATTTTGTTGTTGTTTTTGTTGTTAAGTTCCATTGAGTCAGTTCCAACCCATAGCCACCACCCTGTATAGGGTTTCCAAGGAGTAGCTGGTGAGCTTGAACCGCCAACCTTGGAGTTCAAATGACTTTGCAGTCTGGCACATTAACCCACAGTGCCACAGCAGGACTCCACTGACTTATTGACATATTACCATATTTAATCCTCACAATAATTCTATAAGAAAGATACTAGTATTAGCTTTATTTTACAGATGAAGAAAATGAATTACTTAGAAATAAGTAACAGATGAGATGAGATTGAAAGCCTACTATTTCAGGGATAGTGAACAACAAATACTCTGTTTATTTTTAATTTATGGCCCTTAAAGTGTTATTAGCTATCATTAGGTAGGAAGTATACCACTGCATACTTCAGTCCAGAAAATAATTTCTTCCTTGTTGAGTTGAAATGACTAAGATATTTGCCTAATGTAAGCCAACTAGCAAGTTAAGATGTCTGGTTTCATTTAGGCAGTTGAGACTTCACAGCCAGATACAGTGCTGTCCATCACCCTTGACTCCTCTATCATACTTTATTTACCATTATATCTTTATTTCATTTCTCTTTCTCATCTATACACTCCTAGGTTTTTCAGGAATGACCTTTTTTATGCCTGGCATATAGGAAGTGCACATTTACAGTTGTTAGTGAATCATAAACCCTCTGAGGAAGTAACCCAGCTGTATTGTAAAGTCACTAGTGAACTGTACTTTTTTTCATCCCATGTATGACAATTCTATACAGGAAGGATAATTTGGTTGCCATCTCTCCCCAAGATATACATCTCATGACTGTTTTAACTCACTTCTATGTTCTCAGCTCCTAACATAGAGACTGGCAACCAATGATTATTATGGAATGACTCAAGATGCCAACAGTAATTCTGAAAAAACCTTAACTGAAATAGTAATTTCCCTCAAAGTATCTTTCTTTTGGGTTTCCCTAATGCTGCTCCTATCGCTCTTCTTTTTTTCTGTTTTGGTTTCCAAAGGTGTTACCTCCCCTCTCTTTACCAGTATTTGCTTATCAAACATATGCATACATTTACTATGTGACAGGCACTATCATTTACTGTGACAGGCATTGTTCTAAATACTCTAGAAATACTGACCTATTGTAGTCTAGCAGAAATTCTATGAAGTATGTATTATTATTACCATCTTCATTTTGTAATTGAAGGTATTGAACACACAAAAAAGTGTCTGAGATCCCATAAATAGAGCTCACGGAGTTGCATATGAGGTCTATTGATTTATGCACTCTAGTTAAAATTTGGAGTCTTGGCACCATAAGAGCAGCACTAGACTGTGAGCCAAAAAGTTCAGAAGTTCAAACTCTTCTGATTCTCAGAAATCCTATATTAGTTTGCTGTGAGTCAGAACTGAATGAACAGCACTTAACAATGAGTGTAAATTTAAATATTTTTTGTGTTTACCCATTGTACTAATCTGCTGTGATTCAGGAAACTAAAAAGAATAAACTCCAAATCTCAGTATCTGATTATAAACACAGGTTTCTCCATTATATTTCATTACATTGTAGCAGCTACGAATCAGCTGGGATGGCTGTGTTCCATGCATTTCCTCATTTCTTATTTTGCCCAACATTATTCACTTACCAAGAGAAGAGTGGATAGATAAAAACAATAATACAAATTTGCCACACCTTTAACTAAGCTCTGGTACCTGTGTATGGACACTTTACAGTACCAACATGCTGGAGTCTAAACTCAACTTTTTCCTTAAGTTGGAGCAACAACAATGACGGAAAAAAAGCTGATATACATATATAAAGTGCACACTTGGTGAAGATGATATGGTTAAAAATCCATTAACAGAGTTCCTCATTCTGTTTCATTTATTCCTAAGGGAAAATCTCATGCAATTTTCTAGCAATTACATCAACATAACTTCAGTTTAGTACAGCAATAATATTTCAGATGCCTGCTGTGGAGTTAGTCCTTTGCCAAGGATTGACATCACAACAATAGGTTTTTTGTTGTAGAGCACTGTAATTTTGTTTTGGATTGATGAGCTTCTTCAGAACAGAAACATTATTTATCCTAGCAAGCATCTCACTTCTGACACGTAGTAGACACCTAATGAATACTGAATGATAACCATACCAATGACACAGATAGAGACTGAAAAATCTCCAATGCATCTCTCTCCCTCTTCCATAGGAACTTCTACTTGCAGAAAAATGGGCTAAAATGAATAAACTCGCTTTTCCAAAAATTGATCCTTATGTATTTGATCGAGAAGGACTAAAGGAGTGCTATGTCTTTAAACCCAAAAACCCCGATGTGGAGAAAGATTGCCCAACTATCATTCACTTTGTTCTGGCCAACATCAACTTCAGAAAGTACAAGGCTCCAGGTATGTTGGGAATAGGCTAGATGTTTGATATGAAAACAAGACTCAGTTTGAGTAGGCTCACAATGGTCTTCTGTACTAGTTGTTACATTTTGAAATTATCTCTCACTCTAAAAATAACTACTATCTTGAACTCCCAAGCACTTTCCCTTTGTTCCACTCTAAAATGCCCTGAAAGGTTAACAACTAGTGCAATGAGAAGTTCTTTGCTTTGCCAGAGACCTTGGATTACATTTGTTCTGATAGATTAGTTCTGACTGATTGTCATATGGATAGTTTAATATTTGAATATTACCCCTTAAAAGAGCTGTGTTTTAGAACAATTAATGCAAAAGATGCTGGAAATTTTATTGACCACCTGATTAATGTGATCTAGTCGTATAGAATGGCTAGCAATTTGCCAACATTTACTTGAGAGTGTGGTAGCTTTATAGGATAAGCACTGGACTATGAACCACAGGTCAGTGTGGTTCAAGCCCACCAGCCGCTACATGGGAGAAAGTTGAGGCTTTCTGGTCCCACAAAGATTTACAGGCTTGTAAACCCCATACAGGGTTACTATGAGTCAGAACCAACCAGAACCAACTTCAAGGCACTTAGCAACCAACCAACAGCAATATACGATGGCTAGTATGTGCCAAAAATTCTTTCAGGTAGAAATAAGAGAATGAAGTTCAAGACAATGTAATGCTGTTTTATGACATCCAGAGAAAATTTAGATTGCTCTTTAAGGGATATTTTGGTTCATTAAAGGATATCTAAAGATTAACAGGCATATTATGATAGAAGTCTAAAAGCAGTATCATTTTAGGACCAGGATATGTAGTCTTTTAAATAAATCATAATAGTCATGGAATATAGGAAAGAAATATAGAGGCAAAAGTAACCTTTTTCTTGATTGCTCAGAATTCTAGAAGAGGGACCAATAGGGTTACAGATGACTGTGAGGCATGCTTCTACACAAGAAAAGGAAGAATTTAGCTGTGTGTTAAAACCAAGTATATTTTCTGTCACTGTTAATTCTCGAGGAAAGTCTCAGCGAGCTCTTGGTATATGTAGGGAATTCCAATGACAAGAAGACAGTGTCATGTCTTGGTTTCCCCAGGAGAAGATTCTGAGACAAAGATTGGAATGTAAGTTGTTTATTTGGGTGGTATAGAGAACTTTAGTAGAGGTGGTGCAGTGAAGGGGATGAGAGCAGACAACAAAGACTGGGTTATAAAGCCAGCTACCATAATGGGCCAGTGGAACATACATTTGTAGAGAATCTCTAAAAATGGAATTGAGCCTAGAATCAACAATTTTCCCTTCTACCCACATGCACCAACAGGCAGAGTTACTTTTGTATTTATATGCTAAGTGTGCATAATCATTGTTTAAGAGCTGCCTGGGATAGAGCATTCATTTCTAGAACTTTCAGCCTGGATAAAGCTACCTTCCATAGTAGTAGGGAAGATCAGAAAGCCATCAGGCAAATAAATGCAAATATTGTCAGTTGGGAATCACCTGAACACATAGAAATTTGATAGAGTACACAGTATATGGATAAAGAAAGTAACACTGTAGGTACATATAATAAGACTTCTTTGGGGGTCTCCAGTATTATTTTGGGAGCTATTTGTTTGTTTTATCCCCTAAGGTTTATACTTTTTAATAGTTTTCAAATTAACACCATTTGTAACTCTTCTGATATTTAGGTGTTCCAAGAGAAACTAAGGAAGAGAAAGAAATAGCTGACTTTGACATTTTTGATGACCCAGAATCACCATTTTCAACCTTTAACTTTCAGTATCCAAATCAAGCATTCAAAAGGTTGCATGATCTAATGTACTTCAATACTCTGAACAACATTGATGTAAGTACCTACCAAGACTACCAACGAGTATTTTACTCCCATGCTATATAAACCCAGTAATACTTTCTTATAGTTAATTTAAAAAATTATGAATAATACCCCCAAATGTGGCACTTTACTTTTCATGAATTATTTTATGAATTTTCAGAAAAATCCTACAAAATTCACAGGTAAGTAAATTGTTTTAAGTATTGCCAAGTTGCTTCCAACTCATAGCAACCTTGTATAGGGTTTCCAAGGAGTGGCTGGTGGGTTATCAGCCAGTGCTTACCCTGCAGTGCCACACCTGTATTTCATGTTGTCGTTTGATTGATTGACTGATTGATTTGTTAATACTCAGCTTCTATCCAAAAATATCTAGTGTGTTTATATCATAATAAAAAAAGAAATATAAACCTAGGAAAGTAACTGTAACTGAGAGTACAGTAAGTCTAAAAAAATAAATAAAAATAAAATTTAGTGGATACACTCATGCTTTTAAATGCCTTGATTTTCTTGGGCCTTGGCAGCTGATGTAGTTTTGAGTTGATTCTGCTCACATCTTAGAATTAGAGCTCACAGGAGTATTGGGTATTTTTTAATCAGAAAAACTTGGTTAACAGTTTCACAGTGTTAATCTGCCACCTAGTGGTTCCATCTGCACATTGTCATTGCATGTAATTCAAGAGTTATAGATGTATAGGTTCATTTCCTTTTTTTAAAAAAATTGCCTGTGTCTAAGAATTCCTGCCAAGATCCAGTTATAGAAAATACTCTGTCTAGTTAAGGACATTGGTACTTATTATATTTTGTGTTCGTGAATTCATTATAAAAGAACTGACAATCATTATATGTATAAGTCATCTCGTGTGCTTTTATTTTAAAAGCATTTTCGGTGTTTGGAAAATTATTATATATTTTTAAACTTTACCTGCATATTTCTTCACTATAAGGATTGATAGTTTTCAGATTGTTATGGAAAAGAAGCAGCCGACTTATTAATATAAAATTCTAGAAAGACAGAGAAATTATTAAAACAGTTGTAGTAGGACATTTGATAGCAGAATTGATATGGTGCTGTAGGATAAGCCTAACCACAAGGTAAGCAGTTCAAACCTACCAACTGTTCCTCAGAAACCCTATACAAGGTCGCTATGAATTATAACCATAAGACAACAAAAAGCATTACAACCAACAGCAACAACCATGAGACAAGCTGCTCTTGACTATTCATATAGCTTCAGATCTGAGAGTTATTAATTTTCATGCCATATGGTCAGTTTAGGTATGATTCTGAAGGATAAGCTTTACACTTGTAACCACAAGGTTGGTGGCTCAAACCCACCAGCTGCTCTTTGGAAACTGTATACAGGGTCACTATGATTTGGAACAGATTCAATAGTACTTAACATCAAAGAAAAAAATAGCAGTATAGTCACTTTAATTATAACAACAGTAATGATGCTAGTTATGGAACTTTGCTGATATCGCTTATTCTGTAGATGAGCATCAGTTCCCATAAGACCCTAAATTAGTACAGTATTATCATTGTCATGCTACAAAGGAGGAGTCATCCTCAAGGTTGATGCTCATTCCCCTCAACCTTACACAGCCAATAAATTACTGTGCTGATAGGCCGTTTGATCAAGGCCACCTTCATAGACCTGAAGTCTTTTTTTTTTTAATGTTTTATTGTGAATTATATGATAGTTTACATGAGAGAACCTCAGTTCCATATTTCCATTGTATATCATTACATTGCCATGGTTCCAATCCCCTCCATGCATCATCTTCCGACCAAAGGGCATATCCTAGAAGCCCATGCTGTACACTCCCCCCTCAGTCTTCAGCCCACAGTTCCTCTCCCTCTCTGGATCCAAAGTCCCCAGCCGCTTCATCCCTCCATGTCATCATATCTGTCTCCATCTCAGGCATCCCTGGTTCTCTGGGTGGGGTCCTGTTCTCGGATCTTATCTGTTGGTGGTCCCAGAGACCTCCGCTCCTAGACTGGAGAAATAATCGCTCTCTTCCTTGCTACAAAACACCTATCCTTGTTTCCAAAACTCACAATCCATCTTGATAACCATTATTCACTACAGTACCGCACGTAACCCATCTGTATTTCATTTCATCAGCTCCACCTAGACAAATTGGATAGTACTCACTGGTGATTCTGCCTTCCTCCATGCCCCCTAG